TAGTCGATAATCAGTAATGCTAACTTAAAGGAAAAAAATAACCTAACAGTCTTTATATTACACTATTTATAAGAACCTATTGGTTACATACACCATAAACAATGCACTAAGACTGATAACACAGTGCTGTTAGTAAGGGAGTGATTATCAACAAATAATATAAGTTTGATAAAGGCACTAGCTATTACAATGATAATAAGGCAATAAGGTGAACTTCATTTCATATTTTGATAATGATATTATACATGATAAATCTTATGGCAATCTCGCTCAGACCCGAGTTTTAAAAGGAAAATGTCAAAAGGTAGATATTGATGATCTTTTATGAAAGATGGGAAATAGAATCAGTGTCGTTGATACTGATATCAATGAAAAAGTGACAAAAAATTGATGTCTTCGTCTGCATGGAACATGGATACTTAAATAATTACAAATTTGCATCTACCAGTCTTTCAGACGAAAAGAAACTAATAAGCAAACAAAACGACACCAGATTTTCCTTCTCGCTTTCCACCGCTTACGAAAGGCTTTCTTGCGAAAGTCTTAAATTTAAATAATGTTAAGAAGTATTACGCAATGAAACGTAATGCTATAGGCCCGTGATGTCGCAGAGGAGGAAGAAGATGGCGCCGACGTCTTTTCTGCCAAAGGGAAAAAATACATTAGTGCATCTAAAGAGGAAGACTCATACATACATACATTATATATATATATATATATATATATATATATATATATATATATATATATATACATATACATATACATATATAGAAAGAGAGAGAGAGAGAGAGTGAGAATGAGTGGTCCAGGAGAGAAGCGGGAATTACAGATCTTTTGTCCCCCCCCCCCCTCGATTCTCCTTATCCCTGCCATCGCACGAAGGAGGTCAAGGAGAAAGTCCCAGATACTGGGTCAAGAACCGCTGCAGCTGGCCACTGCCCAGGCTTCGCTATGACCTGATAATGTATCCAATGTGTAATCCAAGTGAACGCCTGCTTCTACTAGGAAGTCGGACAAGTTCACAGTGAACCCACAGTAAACAGACCAGTACGTGGATGTTTGCATAACGTCGTTTCACTTTCATAATATACTTTTTGTATATATATATATGTGTGTGTATACTTATATCTATACACAAACATACATGTATATATGTGTGTGTAGGTGTGGGTGTAGGTTTATGTATGTGTGTGCGTGTGTGTACATATACAGTATATTTATATACATATATATGTATATATATAAATGTTTACACACACACATGTGTGTATGTATATATATATATATATGTGTGTGTGTGTGTATGTTTGTGTGTATGTGTGTGTGTGTACATACATGTATATATTCCAATGCCGACGGGCACGACGTGTACGTGTGTGCCATGCACACTGTGAGTTTATTTGTTTAATTGTTTTTACATATAGATGGCTACACTATTACTAAGTCACTAATGAGCCAAGTACGAGTACTGCCTGTCTCGCCCGTTTATCCTTTTCTTTGATTTACGAAAATATTTTACGTTACCTTAATTTGCTGCTAGTAATGTTTATAACATTATAGTAATTATAATGTTATTCATCTCACTAGTAAAAGATACTTTTTTCCCGCCAATTCAAATCAGGTATGGTCATAAAGTCTATTAATTGACTCCACTGTGGCTAAGCACTAGCAGAGCCATCTATGTGCAGTGACATTCCACAAAAAATATAGAAAATGAGCACAGCATTTTCCCTATTATTTATTCATTTCTCCCGGCGGATTTGGGCTATATACATATTTATATATGCATGTATATATATATGTATATATATGTGTGTGTGCGTATATGTGTGTACATATATGTTCACACACACACACACACACACACACACACACACACACACACACACACACAACACACACACCCACACACACACACACACACACAACTCCACACATATATATATATATATATAATATTTAATCATATATATATATAATAATATATATATATATATATATATAATGGTGTGTGTGTGTGTTTGTGTGTGTGTGTGTGTGTGTTTGGTTGTGTGTGTGTGTGTGTAAATTTATATATAATAAATACATATCTATAGTTATTTTTCAATATACACATACACTCACATTCTGTTGTACATGCCTACACATATTTATCTTCACATCCACATGCGTCTGCCCCGAAAAGCTCACCTAGTGCTCGACGGCCAGCGTGAAGGGCAGGTCGAGAACGGCGTCGCCCGTCAGCGCCCCGAACACGGCCTTCACTCTGACGACGTAGTTCACGTGGATGCCAAAGATGTCGGCGAAGTCCACGTTCGGGTTGGGGATGGTGGAGGGGGCCAGGACGTCGGGGTCGTCGGATTTCTTCTTCGCCTGCAGGAACACTTCGCCGTGCTTCCTGAGGCAGAGGGAAGCTTGCTATACATACATGCTTGTGTATGTATGTACATATATATATATATATATATATATATATATATATATATATATATATATA